AATCCCAACTCTTCACTACAGTGGAAGAACTCTCCAGATCTTTAGATAACCATCATACAGACGTTGATTTTTGACTTCTGCAAGGCCTTGGACAAGGTTGCTCATCAATGGCTTTTAAGTAAGCTGAAATACTACGGAATTTGTGATGTGACCCTAAGCTGGATATCAACTTGATTGATTGATACGTTTTATTTCAAATTCAGTAAAAAACACAAAAACAGGTTATAAACATTTACAATGTACATGTGAAATCAACTTAATTATGTGAAACAAAGTAATAACATTTAAATACAAATGGTTGGAAAATGAAATAGGGTGCATCAGTAAAAACTTGGTTGACTACCAGGACTCAACGAGTGGTTGTTGATGGAGAGGCTTCAGCGTCAGTTCATGTCACATCAGGAGTGCCTCAGGGCACAGTTCTAGGTCCTGTGATGTTCCTCTTATTCATAAATGACATTGGTGATGAGGTCGATTCTACCATCAAATTATTTGCGGACGATTACCTTTTGATGCGGAGAATAGCATCTGTAGATGACACAATAAAACTTCAATCATACATGGACAGACTTTTGGAGTGGCTGATCATTGGCAAATGCAATTCAACGCCAAGAAATGATACTCAATGCGAATACACACAGAAAGAGGCATCCCATTGTGCACACTTATACTACGAGGGGAGATGATCGTCTAAGTGTGGCCAGCAAAGCATATCTTGAAATCGAGCTACATGAGCATCTAAGCAGGAAATCGCATGTAGATGCGGTCACAAACAAGGCCTCACGGACCCTTGGATTCATTCAGAGAAATCTCTGAAGACAATGTCCAACAGAAGTGAAAAAAACTGGCATACATCTCCCTCGTGCGGTCCAAGCTAGAGTATGCTTCGGTAGTATGGGACCCCAACAAGCAGAATCAGATACACCAACTAGAGAAGATCCAAAGACGTGCACTTTGTTTCATTTGTGGAAACTACCAGCATGATGCCAGTGTAACATCCATGCGAAAACCTTAATCTGAGACGATATATGAGACTAGGCTCTTCAATGGACACTTACAAATTTAGTTATTTCCCCAGGACACTTAAGGACTGGGACAAGGTACCTCAGATCATCGTCGAACTGCCTTCTTTGGAGCAGTTCAAGGTGGCTCTTGAAACAATTTAGTTCCCTTTTCAGGAACTGCATCGCATAGAGCTGTATATAACAACTCTATGCTTTACCTTCATCTAGATGCTGAACAAGCGTTGATGAGTATTACTATAGAAGTAGAAGTAGAAGTACACAATGATATGGAATGATATACATATTACACAATATAGCTTCTTTACACGTAAAGCAATAAACGATTGGAAGCAACAATAAATGGAAAATCAATAAGGCAACTTTACACTTTCATTTTCAAACTTATTGGCCTTTATATATAATTCAAGAAAGTATAAAATCAAATGCTTGCTTACATTTGTAAACAAGTTCAGGTTCACCAAAGCTCTAGCAGATTTCAGGCAGAGTTTAGGCTTGCCCCAGCCCTTTCCCCTTCTAATTGGCATACCGAGGATAAAAGGCTAACAATATTTTTCCTTTTCGAATTTTCGACCGAAAAAGCACTCGGTACATGTAAATGTGAAGATCATTATTTTCTTGTCAGATAATTATTTGAAAGAGAACCCCCCCTTCCTTACAAAATCCTGCATCTGCCCTTGATCACAAAGGTTTTTAAGATCAGGAAAGTGGCAGAACTATAATATTTAGATCAATAATACAAATCTGGATTTACATAGTACTTAATACAAAATACTGTCTCTTAGTGCTTTACAGATATGTCTATCATTACCTCGGTCATCGGATTCATTCACACACTATGTGCACATCTCCACACCACGGGGAGTAATACTACCATAAGCTCACCATGAGGGCATATGGTAATTACTAACAAATGTGCTTTATTCATCCTCCCAGGTCCCCACCCATTTCAAATGGCCTAATGCCGCCATGCCTAGTGGGCGTACTCAAATACAAACAATGATAACTTATATGGTGAACTGTCTTGCAGTGTTGTTTATACCCATCTGCATTAACAATAAATACTGCAGGAATATAATGCCAAAAAGGGTTCACTATAACCAGAGTACCAGAGTCTCTACAGAGTGACTTAAAGGGAAATCCAACCCTAATAGTAAACTAATCTAAAAGAAAGCAGAACATTTGAGAAGACACACAAGATGTATCATGTGAATTGGTCTGTGAAGCGGAAGGTTCACTTGATCATCTATCTTTCTTCCACTACAAACTGGCTCAGGCGACCCATTTGAAAATGAGTCTCGTCTTTTAGATGGTGATGTTAAAGGTCAGTCCCCAAACTTAGATAATCTTATCTGATTGATACACGTCTGTTAACTCTTATCCTGCCATAATGAGTACAGCCCAGTGCCACAGGGCTTATTACCCCCTGTGCCAAGTTTATTTTGAGATAATCTAATGGTGCGATCAATAGCGCTTGTGAAGCACTCAGAACAGTACAATGAGCATAAACAATAACTGCTATTATGAATGGGAGCATGCATGCATTAAGCAGCTAAGCTGTGGCTCTCTCACGTGAATTAAGCAGCGAATCGTTTGCACGCTTTGCAAAAGTTTAGGGATCTCATATTTTAAAAAAAGTTATTATTGGTCTGATATAATAAATACTTTGCAATCATATTTCTCTTGCTTTTTTTTAGCTTTCATGAAAAGAAATGATTTAAGGGTTTGATTGCCCTTAAGTGCAAAATAACCCTCAGGTATTCATATTTCAGCAGATCAATTCAAACAAGGACAAGAAAGCAGCCAGTGTATGTACTCCACTCATCAAAGTACTGATATATGGGTTCAGATACCCTCCTGAGTTAAGACAACCAAGCACAAAACATCAGCTTATCCACACATAAGGAAACCCTTAACTTGCCTTGCTGCATGACCTTCCCTATAGTATGTACATCTATAAGCTTTAGAAAAAGGTTGCGTTCTGGAAAGAGGTGAACAATTATTTGTGAGCGTTATCATTGCTATTATGCAGGTGTGGAAGAATATCAGAGGAAAAATGTTCCCTCAAAAAACATGGCTCTTCAGATCCTTTCATATTCTAAATATGGCATGTAACAACATAAACAATCGGGACAGATTTTTATGCCATGTTTGTGTATTCCCATATACATCTTTCTGTGTACAGTGCTTGTAACTTTACCAAGACTGTCCCAAATTTCTTCATTTTGATGATTCCAGAACCTTGCAGTAGGCTTACACCAATACTTATATGCTAGATGCTCAACCTTTTCTGATCGATTCCACACCGCTTCTTTCACAATGCAATTGCATGACCTGAATTCAACTTTTAGCCCAGTATATCTAAAAGAAGTGGTCATGGAGCTGACGAGTGGGGAGTACACTCTGTGGCTTATTTTGTGGCAATATGGCGCCTTTATTTGCACCTCCTTCAAGTGCCATCCAGGGACCCGTTTCACAAAGGCTTTTGTTAAATGAAAAATGACCAAAATCACTGACAAATCTGCTAATAACCAATCAGAAGCAAGGATTTCAGTAGCTTAACAAAATCTGTCATTAGTCACTGGTGACAAGTTTTGTAAAACGGGGCCCAGGGGGGGGGGGGGGGTGTTCCACAAAGATCCTAAGTTGAACTTATCTCTAAGTTAGTCTTAAAAATTATGGAAAACCGTTAGCATCTTTGAATATATTTGTAGAAGTTATTTTAAAAGGCACAACATGTTAATTCAAATCATTCTTATTTTCTATTATTAAGGAGATTTCATGTTCTTGATGTTTAATTTATGAAAAGTCTAAAATACTCTTAATTTTTTATTTGAATATATTCTATTTTAGGCTACAAATGGCTCTCCATAATATGTAAGTCCAACTAAAAGTTAAATTCGACTTAGGATCTCTGTGAAACATCCCCAGGACATATATGCACCCTTCCCACCCCTTAACTAGACTACATGGAGTACTGTTTACTTTTTCAGCAGGACTACACTGTTATTTCAGTTGTTTCACACACTTAACCCATTGCCTACTAGTACCGGGTTGTTCCTGTATTGAAGTTAAAGTCTTATCTTGAAGTTAAAGTCTTAATGTATCTTAATGTATCTTAATGTATCTTAAGTCTTAATGTATCTTTCTAGCCTATTGGCTTTATAAATTATGAGATTTAAGTGACATTTGTGATGCCTTATAAATGAAAGGCCGAGAGTACACGTGTATGTAAAAGTGCACGTGTATGTGAAAGTGCACGTACAGGTTTGTGTGCATGTATTATGTAATGTACTTGTCAGTACGTGTAATGTACTTTGATAATGAATCAGGCGTATGTGGGCATTTACGTTTAGGTATTGTTTAGCTATCAAAGTAAAGATGAACGATATGAAATTATAAGAGGCATATTATGGAGTTTGTAGCTCAGCTGGATTATAATGAGTGTGCATGCTCTCTACAAAAGAGAGACAAAATTACTACCATGCAGCACTAGAAACATTGGTGCAGTGCATGGTTTGATTTGTTATGTCAAGGTTGTGATTATGAAGGTATAGGCCTGTAGACTTCTACATTAATCACAATCTATTCAGTTCATATACGATGAAGGAATTTAATGGTTTATTTAATTGTAACAAGTGTGGAAAGACCCACAGTATTATGACAAGTTATCTTGGTTTAAGCAAATAACAATAGAAATTAATACAAACAAGTGAACTAGGGTTGCAGTATTGTGTTTCACTGAGGTGAAGTTTATTACATCTAGAAATATATTATTTCATGAATAATGGCGACATATGACTAAACAAATGTTTATATGTTTACATTAAATTGCAGATTGAACCTGCATTGTTTGCACGGTATCTTCATGGTTTGTCAAGTTCTGTCGTCGATGGTGTCGAGGTGTTTTGGAAGTCACATCAAGTTCAATATCAGCTTGGATAAGTGAGAACGTCAAGCAGTCACCAAGCAGTCAACATGAGTGAAGTACAACCGGAGGACTCGGTTAGCCAGAGTGGCAGAAGTACTGCTGTTAGCCAGAGTGGGAGAAGTACTGCTGTTAGTTCCAGTGCCAGAGTAAAGGCACTAGCAAAGAAGGCGGTCCTCAAAGCTGAGGTGGAGGCTCTTAGACAGCACCAGGAGTTAGAGCTTGAAGAGTTGAGGCTCAAGCAGAGGAAAGCTGAGTTGGAGCTGAAGACAAAGCTCAGAGTAATGGAAGCAGAGGAGCTTGTCTATCGCCAGTATGAAGATGATCTTGTCAAGGCTAGTGAAGGAGATGAGGTTACCTTCAAGCCTCAGTCTGTCAATGATGACAGCACATTGCCATATCCTGCAACGGATACACCTCAGAAGCAGAACATTGACGTTGAGGTATCAAGAGCACCTGAGTCAACGCCAAAGGTCAGTGATGAGTCACACAGAGAATCCAGAGATCATTTGGACTACGAGATCTTAGGACATTTGAGGCAGGGCCAAATGCAACAACAGCAGCTTCTTGAATCCATAAATTTGCCAAGTGCCGAACTAATGAAATTTGATGGTGACCCATTAAAATATTATGAGTTTGTACAATCATATGACTGTATGATTGGGGACACGTCATTGTCCAGCAGTGGAAAACTCATGAGACTGTTTCACTGTTGTGAAGGAGCAGCAAAGAAACTCATCCAGTGCTGCATGATGATGTCACCGGATCATGGGTACCTAAGAGCTAGGGGGCTCCTTGCTGAGAGGTTTGGTGACACTCACAAGATTGAAGAAGCCTGGTTGAGGAGAGTTACGGACGGCCCAGCTGTACTAAACAACTGCAAGCAGCTGCGGGATTTTGCTGATGAGCTGCAGACCTGTACAGAGACCCTCAAGGCAATGGGTGTGCTCCAGGAATTGAGTACCCAGAGAGAATTAGTGAAGCTGATCGAAAGATTGCCCTACCAGTTGAGGAGTCGGTGGCTTGGCCAAGTGAAGAGAATCCGTGATACCGGAAGGTCACCTGTAATCTTTGATGTTGTTCGATTTGTGAACGATGCTGCTGAAGAGATCAATGATCCCGTCTACGGAGCTCTAGTTCAGGGAGGATGGAAAGAAGGACGCAGTTTCAAGGCCAAATACAAGGATAAGGTTTCGATTCCAAACCGATACCATTCTTCCAAAGGAAACTTCTCGGCATCGCTCAGTCCTCAGAAGTGCGCTCTCTGCCATGCTGATCATGGATTGTTTGGTTGTCAGCGGTTCAAGGATATGAATCCTGAGCAACGTTTCCACTTTGCTCGTGAACAGAGACTCTGCTTCAATTGTCTACAGCCAGGGCATATGTCCTTTAAGTGCACCTTGAACAGGACCTGTTCAGTGAAGGGTTGCAAACAGAAGCACACAAAGTTTCTGCATACCGGGAAGCAGATGATGTTTAGCCGTGGAGATAGGAATTCTTCTTCCAAGAAAGCAGAGAGAGATAGTGGTCAATCCAACTCTATGACCCAGACTGATGACAGAGCTTCCGGCAGTGAAGCTTCCTCTTCGCATGCAAGCAGTAATGCCACGGGGGCCGGAAGGTATAGAGTTGCTCTTCCTATAGTACCAGTGAAGGTACGAGCAGCTGATGGCGATACAGTTGTAGAGACATTTGCACTTCTCGATTCAGGATCGACAAATTCATTTTGCCTTAAGGAGTTGGTGGATGAGCTGCAGGTTAAAGGCAAGAGTAAGATCCTGTCTGTCTCTACCTTGGAGAAAAGGAATAGCCGGTTAAGATGTGAAGCAGTAAACATCAAAGTCATGGGACTTGCCACACAATCTGAGCTTGACGTGGAGGTTCACACACGTCCCAGTTTGAATATCAGCATAGCTAATATGGCAGAAGAGGCAGATCTAGCTAAGACTCCACATTTACAAGGTCTTAATCTTCCAGTCGTCAGTAGAAGCCAGGTCACATTGCTGATAGGGCAAGATGTTCCTGAGGCGTTGATGCCCCTTGAGGTAAAGGCAGGTAGACCTGGAGAGATCTATGCTGTAAGGACAGTTCTAGGATGGACATTGAATGGACCCCTAGGAGACAGAGAAGGTCGAGATAATATCCAAGTCTCAACAAGCTTTATCTCAGACGATAGTAATGCTGGTTTGGAGGAACAGGTGAAGAAATTCTGGAAGCTAGAAGGAATGGAATACCTGTATGATGATAATAGAGGAATGTCAATAAATGACAAGAAGGTATCTGAGTTCTGGAAGAAAGAGATTAGCATGGACAACGGTCACTATCAACTGCCTATTCCCTTTAGAGAAGAGAACCCAAATTTGCCTGAGAATCGCTACATGGCAGAACAGCGATTAGAGTCACTGAGGAGGAAACTCAGCAAGGATGATTACCTTATGGGTAAATACAAGGAAGGGATGTCCAGCCTTTTGGAGAAAGGATATGCTGAGGAAGTACGTGTAGACAACACAACTGAAGTCCAGATTCAGGACAGACAAGAGAAATGGTATCTTCCTCACCATCCTGTTATCAATCCCAAGAAACCAGGAAAGGTACGCATAGTCTTCGACTGTGCAGCTAAGTGTAAAGGAGTAGCTCTCAATGATGCTGTATTGCAGGGTCCTGATCTTACCAACAAACTGACAGGAGTACTCCTTAGATTCAGAAAGGACCGTATCGCATTAACAGCTGACATAGAGGCGATGTTTCATCAAGTCAGAGTACCGTCATATGAGAGAGATGTGCTGCGATTCCTGTGGTGGCCGTCGGGAGATTTGTCAAAACAGTGTCAGGTTTATCACATGTGTGTACACCTTTTCGGTGGGACATGGAGTCCCAGTGCTTGCAGTTTTGCCCTTCGTCAGACTGCGGTTGATAATCAGCAGGATTACGAGGCTGACACTGTAGAGACTGTTCGTGAAAACTTCTACGTTGACGATTGCCTTGTGTCAACAGATAGTGAAGAAAGGGCCATTAAATTGGCAGCACAACTCAGGGAACTACTCAGAAAAGGGGGATTCAGGCTAACGAAATGGTTGAGTAACAGTCCCACCGTGCTACACTCAATACCTGTTGAGGAAAGAGCCAAGGAGTTGACTGGAGTCGACTTGAATCATGATGCCCTCCCAGTTGATCGAGCTCTAGGTATCAGCTGGAATGTTGAGGCAGATAGTCTCGGGTTCAAGATTTCACCGAAGGACAAGCCTCTCACGAGACGGGGATTGCTGAGTGTTGTTTCATCGATGTATGACCCGTTAGGATTTGCAAGCCCATTCGTCGTAAGAGGGAAGTTGATCTTGCAAGAACTGTGTCAAAAGGGACTTGCATGGGATGATCCTATTCCTGAAGTCTACAAGCAGAAGTGGATGGTGTGGCTCAGTGAACTACCAGAGATAGAACAGTTTGCAGTGAACAGATGCATAAGACCCCATGAATTCCCTGAAGTGGTGGAGTATGAATTGCACCATTTTTCTGATGCTTCTGAAGTAGCATATGGGGCAGCATCATATCTAGTATTGAAAGCTGAAAATGGTCAGGTGCACAGTGAGCTGTTGATGTCAAAGTCTCGCCTTTCACCAATCAAGAAAATGACGATTCCACGTCTAGAGCTGTCTGCAGCAGCAATCAGTGCAAGACTGGACGCCTTTCTAAGACAAGAACTGAATGTGCTAGTGGGAAGTTCTCATTTCTGGACAGATAGCACAATCGTCATACGATACATAACAAATGAGGAAAGGCGGTTCCGGACTTTCGTGGCTAATAGAGTTGCAGCAATCAGAACTAAATCCAGCCCAGAACAGTGGCATTATGTGGATTCAAAATCCAATCCAGCAGACGACGTGTCTAGAGGGCTGACTGCTGAGGAGCTGAAAACCAACCAGCGATGGGTGCACGGTCCTAAATTCTTGCTGCAAGGAAAGGAGAACTGGCCCGCTGATCCATTTATAGGGGGAGAGCTTTCAGATACTGATCCAGAAATCAAGTTGCCCAAGGAAGATACAAGTTCATTCAGCACAGAAACGGGTAATGAGAAAGCCTTAGACAGGATGATTAACCACTATTCATCGTGGTTTAAGCTCAAGAGGGCTGTATGCTGGATGTGGAGATTCATTAAGTGGCTGAGAACCAAGAGAGAGTCACAGTTGAAAGTTGAAACAGAGGTGATCTCTAAGAGGATCACGTATGAAGAGATGAAGTATGCAGAGCAGAAAATTCTCCAGTATGAACAATCTTGCTTCTTTAGAGAGGAAATGGATGCACTAACTGGTGCAGATGGTGTAAGGAAAGCCAGCAGTTTATACAAGTTAGACCCTAAGATAGAAGGAGGTCTGATTCGAGTTGGAGGAAGGTTGAGTAGGTCAGCGCTACCACTCGAGGCGAAACATCCTATCATTATTCCAAAGAAAAGCCTCGTGGCGGAGCTAATGTTGAGAGAGGTACATGAGAAGACGGGACATAGTGGCAGGAGCCACGAGTTGTCAACTCTTCGTGAAAGATACTGGTTGCCAGGTGCTGGAACGGCTATCAGAAAGATGATGGGGAGATGTGTTGCATGCAGGCGGCAGAGGGCAAAAGTAATGCAACAGAAAATGGCTGACCTGCCCAAGGATAGACTGGTTCCTGATGAACCACCATTTACGAGAGTAGGCATGGACTACTTTGGGCCTATCGAAGTAAAGAGAGGTCGAAGTATCGTCAAACGCTATGGAGTGATATTCACTTGCCTTGCCATACGAGCTGTTCATATTGAAATGGCTTATTCATTGAGCACAGACTCTTGTATAGATGCAATACGACGCTTCATAGCTCGCAGAGGCAATGTCAAGGAAATCAGATCAGACAATGGGACCAACCTCGTCGGAGCAAAGTTGGAATTGAGACGAGAGATAGAAGGGTGGAATAAAGCCCAGTTGAATGAAGAACTACTCCAGAGGAACATAAAGTGGACATTTAATCCACCTGGAGCGTCACATTTTGGCGGAGTCTGGGAGAGACAGATTGGGACGGTGAGGAAATTGATCCTCGCTCTGACGAAGCAGCAAACACTCGCAGACGAAAGTTTGAATACGCTACTCTGCGAAGTAGAAGGCATCATCAACAATAGGCCCATCACCAAGGTTTCTGATGACGCCAGCGACGTAGAGGCATTGACTCCAAATCACCTGCTCCTGCTGAATAGGAAACCACATCTACCTCCAACGATGACTGAAGAGTCTGATACATACGCTAGAAGAAGGTGGCGTCAAGTGCAATACATGGCTGATCTCTTCTGGAAGCGCTGGATAAGGGAGTACCTACCACAACTACAGGAGAGGGAGAAATGGGTAGCATCGCGTCGAAATGTTCAAGTCGGTGATGTTGTGCTTGTGGTCAATAATAACGCCCCGCGGAATTTGTGGCAGTTGGGTAGGGTTCTCAAGACGATGCCTGACAAAGGAGGTTTCGTCCGTAGCGTTGAAGTCAAGACAAAGAATAGCGTGCTTGTGAGACCAATCTCCAAATTGTGTTTGGTTTTGGAAGCCGACGTTTAAACTACTTTGGAGAGATTTCTAAATTTGAGAGATAGGAAATTATCAAATATATTGATGTAGGATTGTGATAAAAGGAATACCAATTTGATTCTTTTTATTGTGCCTTATCATTTTTGGAAAGGGAATGTGGAGTCGCGCAACGACAAGATGATTCATTTGAGCGGGTTCACAAGCGTAGTAAATCGACGAAATCGATCTACAGAAATTTATTTAAACAACTGAATGGAACTGAGAGATATTCCAGCCACGTTTGACAAGAAACTGATTAACTCTAAAGACTGAAAATTGAAAGGACTCAAAGACTCATGGACTGACAGTCATATTCAGCTTATTTATTGTCTTAAATGTCACTTTCAAGGCTAAATTTTCATTTTTCTTGTAAAATTCAATATTCAAATGCCTTTATCCCACAGGAACAGTATAGGTGTTAATGCATGCTGGTGCATGTTAGCTTTGTTTATAATCTGGACAAATTATATATGCAAGGTTTGGCAGATAAATTTTCTGGAGAATTGTAGTTAATATCTAGTGTTGACTTATTTGTCAAAGTTTTGAATACCTTTGTTGGAAATACAGTGTAGCAGAATGCTGAATTGTTAAACAAAATTAGCAATAAGAAAATAGGTGTTTACATGTTTGCTAATTTCAGTCTGTTAAGAACGAACACAGAAAATGTCAAGGGGTTGTAGCAAGGATGATTTCATTATTTTTTCATATAGCATGTTTTGGAATACATTGCATTAGTAATTTGGTATACAGTACATGTATGTTGAGTTTGTAAAGGCTTCCAGTGGTAAAGAAGATGTGTTAATACATAGCAGATGGAAGGACAATGACTCAATTTATTGCTAGAGGAATGGCATAAGGTCATAAAGGACAATTACATGTATGTTCAAAGTTTGATTGAAACAAAGTGAAGTGGTTATTGGAGACGTTAAGAGTGATCTACCAATAAGTATATTCAAGTTTGTCACAAGGAAGTAAACAAACTTAATTTGTGGTTGACCAAGTTTAATGCCAACAAATGCATATTTGTTTTTTACCACACCGGTATAGAAAGAGTTAAGATATGTTTAATTCAGGTATTGCTACCAACTGTTATTGGCAGTGGTTTAGCTAGATTAACAATGATGTGTTTTGGTTTAACTGCAAATTTGCATAATTTGCATAATTTGCATAATTTGCATGATTTGCATAAATTTGCATAATGGTTGAATATTGGTTTAAAACAATATACATGTACAAGTATCTACATGTGGTTGTTGTTGTGATGCTATAATTCTTAAAATTAAGATTATAGGTTAAATGATATTTCAGGTAAATTTGTATAGAAAATTTAGAACAATTTCTTGCAAATTGACAACTTTGTTGTTTAGTCAAAGGGATCTTGTCACTTTTTTGATGAAGTTGAGTTAAGTAAATGTAATACAGTGCACATAGTGAATGTTAGTTTAAATGTTCAGTAAAGCTTCACATTTAGGGGACCGGGATGTCGTGTGTAGAAAGCCCTTTTGGTTAGATTTAGGCAAGACTGTGACGTCACTAGCGATAATTAAGAAGCTAGTATTGATTTGGCCGCTTGGAGGCGCTGTTAGGCGTGCTGCTAATTTCCATGTTTCGGAAAGGTTATGTTAACCGGAGATGCCATTGATTTTTGTCTAATTTCGATACAAGCCCAATGATGTGAGTAAACTATGCATGTTATCTTGAAGTTAAAGTCTTAATGTATCTTTCTAGCCTATTGGCTTTATAAATTATGAGATTTAAGTGACATTTGTGATGCCTTATAAATGAAAGGCCGAGAGTACACGTGTATGTAAAAGTGCACGTGTATGTGAAAGTGCACGTACAGGTTTGTGTGCATGTATTATGTAATGTACTTGTCAGTACGTGTAATGTACTTTGATAATGAATCGGGCGTATGTGGGCATTTACGTTTAGGTATTGTTTAGCTATCAAAGTAAAGATGAACGATATGAAATTATAAGAGGCATATTATGGAGTTTGTAGCTCAGCTGGATTATAATGAGTGTGCATGCTCTCTACAAAAGAGAGACAAAATTACTACCATGCAGCACTAGAAACATTGGTGCAGTGCATGGTTTGATTTGTTATGTCAAGGTTGTGATTATGAAGGTATAGGCCTGTAGACTTCTACATTAATCACAATCTATTCAGTTCATATACGATGAAGGAATTTAATGGTTTATTTAATTGTAACAAGTGTGGAAAGACCCACAGTATTATGACAAGTTATCTTGGTTTAAGCAAATAACAATAGAAATTAATACAAACAAGTGAACTAGGGTTGCAGTATTGTGTTTCACTGAGGTGAAGTTTATTACATCTAGAAATATATTATTTCATGAATAATGGCGACATATGACTAAACAAATGTTTATATGTTTACATTAAATTGCAGATTGAACCTGCATTGTTTGCACGGTATCTTCATGGTTTGTCAAGTTCTGTCGTCGATGGTGTCGAGGTGTTTTGGAAGTCACAAAGCCTATGGGAATGAGAGAATTCGGTGGTCAACCGGTTAAACGGCTGATAACCTAGGTCAAGGTACATGTCATAGTTCATCCTTGCTGTCCACTTTTTTTGGCCTGAAACCATTGTCTCTGACGATGGTTGCGTATGTCTGCGCAGATGCCTTCGGCGTTCTGCGGCGCAGAGGATCAGTGAAGTCTACGTGGTGTAAGCCAAAGCGGTTGCTGTATCCTTGAAACCATTCAAAGTTGTCCATCAATGACCACGCAAAGTAGCCCCGTAGGTTGACGCCATCTAGGTGGGAAGCTGTAAAATACAATAGTTGTATAAATAATAATAATAATATTCCGCTTATATAGTGCTTAATACAAATTTCTCTATGTATTCTTGCCCATTAATCTGCAATATTCCCTACCAAAGTGTATGAGATGTATTTAATCAAGATATTCTAAGCATAACGTAAGTTTCTCAGGATGACATGGGCATATCAAGTAAATGTATTCAAAATTATGGATACTTCCTTCCCAAGTGTATGTGATGATGAAGTATTTCATCCACCTGCTATTACTGTTTGTACTACAATTGTCAGAATGCAAATTGCATAAATAAGATGTTGCCCTTCAGGGGTAAAGGTTTGGCATAACTGAAATAGGTTTGTAAGAACTGCTATATTTCAGTATTTTCAAATAAATTAGTTACAAATGTTCCCCTGTTATATATTGCTATATTTCTTACATTTTCAGCTACGATTTTCCCTCATTAAAAATTATATTTTGTATATATTCAATTAGTAACTACAGCTCGGTGCATACTACATGCACAAGCTCGCCTGGAATGTCACATTATTAAATGGCAGCCAATTTTTATGATTACCTGTATACTAAATGCCTTTAGGAAATGCAGAGGGATGTTATATTAACCCTGAAATGGCCAAGGGCCAGGGCAGATTTCAACCCCCTCCCCCTCCCCAATCATTCAAGGATAGTATTTTTTGCACCGCTAGCATTTAAAACTTTACCCCAGAGAGTCTTAGGCATCTTTTGATACCAAATGCATACAGGTACATGTATGAACTACAGGAACCGCACAGCCAAAATGAACAATTCCCCATTTGTATTGTACATTGGACACATACCCCCTGGACATCCACTCCCCAGATAACAACCCACAGTCAACTACGTACCCCCTTGGGCGACCACCCTCTAGGACAACAACCCCCCAGACAACTATCCTAGGGGGTAGTTGTTCGGATATGATATTGTACACTATGCAGCATTGATTGTCAATTCACGGATATGTGAATTTTCAATTAGCGATAATTCAAAAACTGTTTGTTTCATAGGTATGAAACTTCATGGACAGATTCTTGATGAGATCCTTTATTTGTGTACCAAGTTTCTGTCACTCTATGATCAATCTCAAGATAGGGTGGGTATATTCCAGGCTGAGAGCGCACCTAAATAACCCTGCCTTTTCAGGGTTAAAAGTAAACATTCTATATACCCAATGATAGTTTGTACCATCACAACTTCCTGACTGTTTTGTAACAGGAATGAGAATTGCATGCGAATGTGACCCTGCAATCTTTTTCTCTAAAGTAATATTTTATGAGACTTGACATTATTCTCTTTTTAAATTGAGTTGGGGACATCTAATTGTGATGAGCAATACAATATCATTTTAAAGCTAAGCGAAATTGGGGTATTGGTACCCCATCAGAATTACATTGGTGCCTGTGTTATACATGTAGAAGAAGCTCTCTCAAAGTTTTAACGAGAGAAACAAAATTGGGGTTCTGCATGGCACCCCACCAGATTACATTGATTCCTGTGTAATAGTGGTGGGGTATAGTTTTAACGAGAGCTTTTCGTAATGCTTAACCCTATTTAGCCCGGGCTATTTTGAAACTGCATAGCCCAGGGGGGGGCTTCTCAGGCCCCCCCCTGTGATCTCGGCCGTGAAACGCCCGATCGCCGCGAAAATTTGCATACATGTCAAGTGAAGTGTATAGAATACTATGGTAATTTCAATTTTTTTGAAAAATTCACTCATTTGTATATTTATGGTAATTTATGCAAATAAGGTCATTAAATTCACATTTTTGCCCATAAATCAGACATTATTCATATTTAAGCATTCTTTCTCACTACATATATTTGTTAGACCATTTGGAATAATAATACAACACAAAAATTTGAAAAACCAGGGTTATTCCTTATGTTATCTATTGTTTTGATAATTTCTTATGTATTTCTTTGTTTTTTTAACTTATGTATTTTATTGTTTTTGTTGTTTTATTTCATTTCCAACTATAATTCAACTATTTTGACCCCAAAATAAACACCTAAAATCTAAACAAGACCAAATAACCAATGTTTTACCTCTTTATTTGAAAAATGAGATTTCCATATGTTTTGTACACAAATCACAAAAATGAGCGATTTTCGGGCTGACATGCGAAGACAAAAGGACACGTGACTTTGTAATGGTAGGTCCGATTTTCGAAA